CTCTATTTCCTTTGACTTTCCTCTTGTCCCACTATCATGCTCAGCCTTCATTTGGGGTCAGTAATTCCTCTCGGTTACATTATCCTTGATTACGCCCTAACAGGCCTCATCCCGATTTGGATCACTTATTGTTCCCTTGTCCGTGGGTTTGTTAACACCTCTACCTGTACCCCCACCTCCCCCTGTCCCATGTGCCCACGGAACTGTTGGTCCCATTGTTTTCTCCTCCAGATTGTTCATCCAGGCTATCTTATTTAGACAGACCTGGAGGGTTTTTTTGTTTTTTATTGTGAAATACTTATTTCTAATTACAAATAAATTAAATTTGTCTTGAAGCATGGTGTAGCATGGGTAACAGTCTTCATGCCGGCTCGGTACTTGGATGTGGGTCTCTGCATGTAGGTGGACCCGCCTGGAGACGGAAAGAGAGGAGCGGTGTCTCGGTTCCTAACACCATCGGAAGTATGTGTTTTCCAATGGACTTAGGCGACCCTTATGAAACGGTCTTTTGACCCCCCAGGTTGAGAACCACTGTTTTGTTTTAATAATTTTACTAGGGTCTCGTACAACTCTCATCACCATCCATACATCATTTGAATCAGACATGTTTGTACATATGTTGCCCTCATTCTCTTTTTTTGTTGTTGAGAATATGCACAGTATAACATCCACCAGTTCAACAGTTTCTACATGTTCAATCCAGTGCTTTTGATGACCGTATCTACTTGAGTATAAGCCAACCCAAATATCAGCCGAGGCACCTAATTTTACCACAAAAACTGTATTAAAAATGTGTTGAAAAGCTCGGCTTATACTCGAGTGTATACGGTATATATTCTATATTCTTTGAATTGTGTAAGCCTTCTCACCCCGCTCTTCCGAGTCCCTCCTCCAGGAGCATGAATTCACCGCTCCCCTCAAGTGTGTGTCTCATCTTTCCACTTGCTCCTAACAGATCGATGTCCTGTAGGTAGTTCTTAAAAGAGCACAATGCTCAAGGCAGGTACACTTTCTTACTTTTATTTTACCTTTTTTTTTTTTTTTTAAGACAGACATTTTTTTACAAGTTGACCAAGACTGATCGTTACTGAACCACTCTGCCACCAGGTTACATGGTGGGAACCCACTGCCATTGAGTCATTTGCAGCTCAACCCTGTGTGGGTTTCCACAGCTGTCAATCTATAGGGGCCAACAGCTTCATCTTCCTCCTGCAGAGTGCCCTTGGGTTTGAACCAACTCAGTGCCACCGGGACTCCACAGGAGGGGAATAGCAAGTGAATACAACCTGCTGTCCTAGGTGGGTGGTGGGGAGAGACAGACGAGCATTAGTTTAGGAAGTATTTCTCTGTTGATTTCGTGGTTTTGATTAATTTTTTATATAAGATGACAACTAATGGGAGGAAGCTGGGTCAACACGACCTGCGAAGTACTACCCACATGTCGGGCTGGAGTAGTTAGATTCCATGTTTACCATCACCTAGGAATGTAATCAGTGACATCTAGGCCGTGGCAGATTACAGAGGTCAAGTACAACC